CTTTAAGTTTCAGATTGTTAAATATATCTTCCAGAAAGAGAGAGACTTATCAGAAGCCTGTGGATTCCTCCCAAGAAACTGAATTTTCAATTTCTTGGATTGGATCCTCAGCATCTGATAATTGTTTTAGGAGATATATTTATATTAATCGAATGTTTATAATAAATTTGACTAATTTTTAAGAGAGGTTTATCAATACTTTGATAAACCTCTTTAAATCTTTTGTATTACAGAGGTGGTCACTAGTTGGTCGTAAATGTTTTCGTCCCTCTTTGGTCGTAATTAACTTCCGGTTTACGACTGCTAATCCTAATTTGGTCGTAATCTAGTAAAAAAATTGAGTCTCTAATTGGTCATAAATGTATTTCGTCACTCATTAGTCGTAATATTACGACTCGGTTACGACGTCTAGTCTCACATTGGTCTTAATATTACGATTCAATTACGACTAAGCCTAAATCTCTATATATACTCGGACCTTGCCGAAGCATTTCGGTTTCTCATTCCCTTCTCTCTAACAATGACTTCACTTCTCTCCAGGTAAGTTTTTTTTTAGTTTTAGGTGGTTAGTTAGGTGACTAGATTAGGTTTGGAATTAGTTTAGGATGAAAGTAGATTAGGATGGAATTAGATTATGATGGAATCAGGATATGTTTAGATTATATATTTTTATATAATAAATTTGAATTGTTTATAACCATCCATATTTTTTTAAATTTTTTTTCAGATTGACGATATTGCTATGGCTAGCGGTAGAAAGAGACTTAGGAACCTTGCGCCAAGAAACTCTTACGAGACTACCTTTCTCGGTCAGTCGTCGAATCAATAAGCTTCTACCTCCTGCACATCATCCGGCCAAGACAATGTCTGTTAGAGCCAAATTCCTATGTTCCGTATGTGCATCCACAGGCATACGACTCCATAGCTCCATACTATCCGCAGTATGATGACCCTGCTGCATACTTTCCATATGACGAGCCTCCACAGCAGCCTCGATATGATCAGCAGCCTCGATATGATCAGCAGCCTCAGCAGCAAGTTCCACAGCAGCCTCCACACCAGGCTCCACAGTAGCCTCCGGCTCCGTCTCATGCAGCTGTTCATCCAGATTTGATTGTGCCACCTAATCCACCATATGCAAGATATACAGTGGAAGACATTCTCCAGATGCCTGGACGAGAAGGTTTACGAATCATCGATCTAGATCGACCATCCGACATGTTTTGGTAATTAATTTTTAATAAATTAAATTACGTTTTTATTTTATATATAACAATTAATTATATATATTGGTCTAAATAAATATATTTTTAAATTTTGTAGGTTTTTGACTGATAATTGTATGGGACAGAGCGTTGGGGATATCATCAAGGAAAACTTCCGGGAGCGCATCTGAACTGGTCTCTTACACTGGACCATGTTCGCGTTACTTGATTGATTAATTAATTAAGATTTTTTATTCATTATTTTTTTTGTAGCAAAATGAAATTGGTTCATTGGCGTCAACGAAAAAGGTGAAGGAAGGGTTCGACAAAAAGGTGATGGCTCGCCTAAAGAACATTGTTGGTGATTGGAAAGAAAAGTGAAGGTTTAAGGGGGATGACGCAAAAGAAACCTACCTCAGCATTGAAGTTTGGAATTGCTTGTAGGCTTATTGGAATTTGCATGCTTCAGTACAAAGGTCTCTCAAGTGCTCTTTTGTCAAGATGACTCGTGATGCTGAAGGTAACCCACCAATACCTCATACTTCCGGACAGACTCCACACGCCGAGAGGGATTGTAAGTCTTTGATATTTCTTAATTTTATTAAATATTGAACGTGTGAGTTTAAATAATTTGATTTTTTTAAAAAAAAAATAGGCTGCCAAAGAAAGAGCACCACCATCTCTGGCCCGACTTTACAAGACGACACACCAGCATTCCCATGGAACTTTTGCGCATCCTCAAGCAGAGAAGATCTAGAATGATGTAGAGACTCGGATCCAGGAGGTCCAGACTCAGTTGTCGCAACAAAATCCGGAAGGTGCACTGGTCCAGATTTCCACCATCGAACAAGACAAAATTTTTGAGTAGGTAAAATATTCGATCTTTTAAATTTATGTTTATATACATTTTTTAATTTTTAATTTAGTTTTTACAATTGTACTAATTAATTAATATCCATTCATTAATTGAAGTTTTTCCCAAAGAGAAGGGGACGTATAGTTGGGAGCGGGGATGTGAACGATGTCTCGAGGGAGAGAGCTGAACACACTGCAAGAATGGCAGAAGATTCTTCTCTCCTGAGGGAACTAGCAGCTGCCAACCTAGTCATAGCCGACCACATGGACAAGTTTAAGGCTATGGAAAATATTTTCGATCTGATGATAGAGACAACGTCGAACGTAAACCCGTATGTTGCCTCTGCGTGGCAGGCTCTAACCTTTAACCTTGGCCCCACTCCAGAAGAGCATGCGGATTTAGAGCGACGTGCGGATCAGACTGGTTCCGATCTCTTCGACAAAATAAATCTTAATGATTAGTTTTTTGGTTTTAATTAATTATGGATACTATTATGTTTATGGATGATAATTATATATTTTCTTTTAAATTTATCAAATTTTAAAAAATTAAATTGAAAAAAATTAAAAGATTAATATTTTAATTAAAATATAAAATTCGTAAATATATTAATCAAGACATAAATTGGTCTCAAATTTACGACCAATGAACATCAACAGTCGATGTAAAGTAGTCGTTAATATACGACCAGATTACCTCTACGTTCGATGTTATTTAGTCGTAACTTTACGACCAATTGACGACTAATGTGTAGACATAATTTATGTCATTATTACGACTAAATATTTACGTCTAACTTACGACCAGACCCTGTATTCGTAATGTTACGACTAATGTACGACTAATATGTTTAGTCGTAATATTAGGACCAATGTGCCTCTAATAAGGAATTACGGCCAGCGAATAGCGACCATTCACTTTTGGAAGTTAATTGGTCGTAGTACCCTTATTACGACCAACTAGCTACTATATATGTAGTCGTTAAGGACATGTTTTCTTGTACTGATATAACTAAATTACATACAAAAACTTTATTAAACTTAAAATAAACTTCTAAAATGTTTAATATACATATAACTAAACACATATAGGTCAAATTTAGTTTTAAAAATGAAAATGTTAAGATTCCACAATCTAACCCTAAAAACACATTTAATACTACAGCATAGTTACCAGACCCTAAACTAAAGAATAACATGACTAATTTACATCCACTCATCTATCTTGAAAACTATACAGTTTTAGTAAATCTAAATTTACATCCTTTATAAATGTCAATAATTACATGATTAGGATTTTTTACTAATCAAAATATTTTTTTTATAATTTCTAAATTATTTTTAAGATTTATAGCATGAGAAATTTACCTGAAAGTTTTCTTATTCTCAAGGTTATAATGGTAAACTATAATTCTGTTTTTTTTGTTTGGTCACGAGAGGATATTTGTAATTTCAGTAGCCTTTTGAATTATTTTTATATTTGATTTGAGTTGAGGTACATCTTTACATTTGAAATCAAGTTTTGAGTCATATTTGGTAAATCTTTTTAATAATATGATAGTTATTGGGTTTTTAAAAAAATTTCTACAGTATGAGTATCCGTATTTTCTCTAATCATCTTGTCATGGTCCTCATGGATTGTGATGATGATCAGGCTCGTCTCAAATATAAACTGAGTTCTGGGCTAAAAAAAATTTGTGATCCATTCCTTTATACAAAGTTTTTTATAAAAAAAACGGACCCTAGTTTAAACTAGAAAAAATAAAAATATCAAATGGATCCTGTGCAAATACACCCCCAATACAAGTCAGAGCCGGGGACATATGATGATGAATTGCAATCAGATCTTATATCTAATTTGCATCACACATATTCAAAATTTAGCTAATATCTAAATAAATCATAGTTTCCCTTTTGCTACTAAGATATATATCGGAGTGGATAAGAACATAACAATTTGCTTCGACTTATAACATTATCACCCATAATAACGATGACTAATGAGTCTTCTAACGAGTTCGTACAATTGATAGGTTTCTTCTTTTATCAGTCACTTATTATAGTTGCCTAGACTAATAATGACTATGCAACTCTACCTGTTTAGACTTTTCCTCTATTAACCACATATATACATGTTCGCCATTCATAATTAAAAAAATAATTAGTTGTATTTCATCAAAATAAATAAATACGGAATCCGTATCTAACAATGGACCTACATGTCCCCTTAAATGTTCTAATAAGCATTATAAAACTCTCACTTTATCTGATGTGCGTTGCCTTAATCCCCTTCGGATAAGATCTATGACTATTTTCAAAGGTCAAAACGCAAAAGCAAAACAAAGTTTATAAATATTTGAGTTTAAACTTGCGAAATATAAAAAGGCATCGTTAAGAGTACGTCGTTATCATTAAATTCATGTTGAAGCAATTGACAAACATAGCATAAAAACATAAAGATGAAGTATCCATTCTTTAACCAAAAAATACGACACTTGTTTTTGATTATTCCACAAAAGGGTTATTAATAGCATCTCTATATATAATTGTAGGACATGTTTTCCAAAACCAGGTGTGTTCAATACCATCAAACAAGAACGTAACTCGTTTGACCATCTTCAACAAGTTAACACGAATGGTTTAAAAAAAACAAGTTAACACAAAATTAACAAACACAAACATTAGACTAATAATATTAATTGAAGAAAATGTATTTCGAAATAAATCCATCGTCCAACTGCAAGTCACACTTTGAAAAAGTTCAGTAAAAACAAAACTACAAGCCACACCAAATTAACTTTCTTTTCGCAAAATAAAAAAATAACTTGACGAAGATCCATATCAAAATTCCAATTAACCACTACTTAAGAAAACTAAATGTTAAAAAGAAACTAAATATTATTTGAAATTATCATATTTCATACAGGATAAGTTCAAAACCGTGCAACGTGCTTCGATACTCATTAGGATCCATTAGTTAGATTTCGTATAGTTTATGTTTTAACTTCTTGTTTACTCAAAGTTAATTACTATTCTTCTCCCCAGAGGACACAAAAGTACAACGACCCATTCCAATCTCGACAAGACAGAAAATGATCACCGACTTGTTTAGAACATATTACACTCTCCGATAATAATGTTTACGGACGTTAATCACATCACAACACCACTTCACGCATGCCTCTAAATAAATAGAAAAAAAAATCATTAGTTGAAAAGAAACATTAATAATAAGAATGTACATACTCATTACGTTCATTAATAATAAATTACAAGAGTTGCATCCAGCAAAATAAAATAAAATTACAAAATATTCATATTATATATTAGAGTTTAATCATATAAAAATCCTAAGCATCAAGTTGATAAAAAAAAAAATCCTAAGCATCTATACACTGAGAGATCTCCCCCGACAATACAATATTATATAATAGAAATTATATGAAATCCGTGAAAAATATTTACACATTTTCAGAGAAAATTCATGATGATAATAATCTTTAGTTAAACCTTATAAACGATAATCAGATATCCGGGGGCATACGGGTCGGATCAAATCACATCACCAGCTCAGAGACCCACCCGAAATCAGGAGCTTCACCTGAACCCTGATTCGGATCCGGTTCAACCCGATCCATGCAGTTTTCCTTGCTCAGCTTCTCGAACATCTTCGCTCGCAGTTCACGACCCGACTCGACCCGTTCCATCACCGGTTCCTCCTCCAAACCATTATCCCAAATGTCGATGTAACCAATCTCCGGACGGGTCGGGGTATTAGGAAGGCTCCGAAACCCGGGACCTAAGACTGATCCACGTGGCGATCCGAACGCGGGTCCGTAACCTCGGACTTGATTGTTGTAAGACGAAGGAAGAGATTTCACTTTATTAAGCTGCAAATTCCTCATACACGCGACGACGTCGTTTACAGAACCAGACCCGAGTGAACGACTAAATAGAGAACAAGACTCCGAGTCGTCACGTGGACTCACCGGCGGCGAACCAGACGCCGGAGAAATCGAAAACTGAAACGCCCTACGCATCGGAGACACACCGTCGAAGGAATCAACTCGATCAGGGCTATGGTTCGGTAACACCCTAATCTGATCCGGCGAATGAGCGAAGAAACAAACACGACGGCGACAGTTACCACCGTCTTTACACGGCTGAGTACGGTAACGCGCCGGATGAAGCCAGCACTCGAAAACGCCGTGAGAGAACTCACAGGCGTCTCCCTTTTTGCAACCGCCTTTACGAAACTCAGGACACGCCGTACCGGAGTAATGGTACTTCCTCGGATCTCGACGGCGAGCTTTCTCTCCGGGATGAGCGTAAGGGCACTCCGTCCAGTCATGGCTCCTGCCACGAGTGCATCGCCTGACTTTGAACTCGTACATCCGGAAATGATCACATGAGTACGTATCGATTGCTGAATCCGGACCCGAGAGTTCCGGGTCAGAATCCGGATCCGGCTCGTTCGACGGAAGATAACGCTGTAACGCAGCCAAAGCCTCGAGCATGCTGTTTCCGCCGTCAGGACTTCCGTAAATATCAACCGCCGTTAGATCGTCGTTAAGTGGCCATGGAGGAATCTGAACCGTTGGATAAGCACGATGGGTTTCTCCGATCATCATTTTTTTTTTTATGTTTGAGAAGAAATAAAATCACATTCGTCTTCTCCTGTGAGTTTTTGTTTTGTGTTTGCTAAATCTCCGGCAAGGCTTTGGTTCTATATAAACTGATGTTGAGTAGTGGGAAATACTTAAACCACGATCAGGACAAATATTTAACCATGGTTAAGTTATCTGCCTTTTTTCAACCGCGGTTAAATCCAAAGTGAGTAGCTCGCGTGACGAGTCTGTGAGATAGGGGTGAGCAAACAGCGGCGAGAGACTTTACCACGAAGCTTTATTGATGACGTGTACGAGTTGTATGTTGCTTTTTGTGACAGCTCCGTGAGCGAGCGGCTGCGAAAATAATAGATTGATTTCTTTTTAACTTTCTCTTTGAGTTCCGAAGGCGGTGGAAGGATCCTTTAGGTACGCTGAAAAACGATACAACAAATAATCCAATTTAAAACAAAAAATTAATTTTCTTTATTTTTGGGTAATAACACACAAAATTAAAGAAAATTGCCCTTTATAGCTAAAAAAAAATAATTAGATAACTAACCAAATTATATTAAATAATAATCTATCAAAATATATATTATAATTGACTACAGAAGAACTATGATAAAATCAAAGTTAATTTATATCTTATAAAACAATATAAAAAATAAAAAATATTATATATATTAAAACGATTACAAAAATAAATAATTCAAAAACCAGTTAAAACAAGTAATCATTAATTTCCTAATCATCTCCACACCTGAACATTTCCTGTCCAAAGTAAAATTAATTACTTACCAAATTGAGACATGAGTATAGATTATTGTCAAGAAACTACTAATATTTTCATTTAGAAAGTAATCAAAGCATATAACTAACTGAGGAAAATAAAATAATTTTGAGCATATGGATATTTTACATGGAAGAGAAAGGGATAAAACGTAAGTGTCTGTGAAGAAGAAGACATGTTGGAACAAATTGGGAATAGTAACGTTAAAAGACATTAAAGGAGACTCTCTTATGCTTCTTTACTAAAACTAGAAGCAATTCCACCACTCGCTCTCGTTTATCACCTCTTTGCATTTTTCCTTTCTTTTTCATTGGTGTATTTTTGCATAATAAGAAAAAGAAAACTGCCAAACAAACTTTTAAGTTCTCAAAATGAAACAAACAAAAATTACGAACTAAGGGAAGCCACATTAGAAATAGTTTTAAAAACTTGTTCCTTTTAATCTTCATATTTTGTTGGTTGAAGGATTTTCTTTTCTATTTCGGTTAAACGATTTTTTTTGGTTAAACGTTTTTCAATATATAAAAACAACGTTAATTTTTTGTGTATCCAAAACAGTTCATTTAACATAATATAAAAGTTAAAATTGATATTTTTGAATAATGAATGGTAAAGAAAAAAGAAAAAAGAATACTGAATGTATTATTATCTTAAACAAAATTCATGTTTTTCTTTATAGTTCAAGGTTTTTAACAAACTTTACCTGAAAACTTTAAAATTTTTATTTTTCGATTTATTGTCATGGCAAATAACAACAATCCAGTACAACGATTTCATGAGGACCTCTCCGATACAACATTATTTATTTCTTTATATTTGATACTAAAATAGAGTGATTCTGTTATAGTGTTGAATTTGTTCCAGTGGTTCCTTTTATAATAGAGTTACTCTATTATATTGTGAAATATAGAGAAATATTGGATTTTTACTTTATATTTGGAGTAAAAAAACATCCCACTACAATTTATATTATAATAGAGTAGCTCTATTATAAAATGAACCATTAGAATAAATTCAACTCCATAACAGAATTACTCTATTTTTATGTAAAATATAGAGAATAAAATAATATTATGTCTGACAATATTGTTCTCGAAATATTGTTTTAAAAATTTAGCTTCTGATCTGATCCAAAACTGAACCAAATTCTACACAATTTTTGATTCATTGAAACACAATTACATAATGTTGATCTATAAAACTGAAAAATCAGATATACCAAAAATTTTGTTAAGCAAACTTTAAAACTTAAATTCAATTAAAATCATATTCATTATGTTACTTTGTTCTTTACACTTGCACGGTGTTTAGAATGGAAAATATATAGAAATGCTCTTACACAGGTAGAACCTTTTTTCCTATTAATCAACATTTATACTGTTGTTTACCAACTCCAAAGTAGCTCACTAATACTCCAGACCAAGACTTTTCTAAACCATACTGTAATATTAATTGCCTCAATCTTTTAGTAACGATATTGTTAGGACAAAAAAAAATTTCTGGTTTATTAAACTGCGCTTATCATCAATATAATAACAAGTCTAATATAATCTATTTTTACAGAATTTTTTTTTAAAAAAAAAAGAATTGTACTATTAGCGATTTGATTCATTTGATTTTGGATACATAAAAAATCTCTATTTCTGTACTTTAAATGGAGATATGACTCATTTAATTTGGATACATAAGAATATTTTTTATTAAACAAACGTAAAATAAAATGATGAGGTATAATGTTGATTTTCTTAAAACAAAATTGTTCTAGAACATATTGTTAAAAGAATATTGAATTAGTATATGGAAGAGAGAGATGATAATGTGAGGTATTAGAACCTGAAAATAGAGCATTGGATAATTTTTATGTTGTACATAGTCTAATAGATAGTGTATAAGAAATTTTTTTTTATGAAATTTTAAATTTATTCTTCCATATATGGAGCTTGACATTTACAAAATTATCATATGACTACAATGATCTACTTTCCTATGCGCTATGTAAACATAAAATAATAGAATAAAGAATGTGGCAGCTACATAGTATGAAAGAACCATCTAGGGCTGGGCAAAAAACCCGGATCCGAAAAACCGAACCGAACCCGATCCGAGAAAGTAATACCGAACCCGAACCGAAATTGATTCAATATCCGAATGGGTACAAAATTTTGGTATTTAAAGAACCGAAACCAAACCCGACCCGAACCGAAGTATTTCGGGTACCCGAATATATCCGAAAGAGATTTATATACCTATATATATTATTTTAGATTTAATATATATAAAAAACATTCAGTATATATATAAAATACTTTGAAGTTATTCAAAATAGTTGTAAATATATGTAAATAGTCAAACATACATGTCTAAAATTGCTAAAGTACATTCAAAACATCAAAAATACTTAAAAAAATTATTGATTCACAATCCAAATATTCAAATCAAACTAATTTATATGTTAATTTTAGATATTTTGACTTCTGTTATTCAATTATTTGTAATATATTAATTTGTTTATAATTTTTTAGTAATTTAAAGTAATAATCAATTTTAAAATTTAAAAAAAGAATTTAAATGGGTTATCCAAACCCGAACCGAACCCGCAAAGATCCGAACCGAACCCGAACCGAAATTTAGAAATATCCGAATGGGGCTAAAATTTGTGAACCCGAAAACCCGAAACCCGAATAGATCCGAACCGAACCCGAATGGGTACCCGAACGCCCACCCCTAGAACCATCACTGCAAAAGACCTTTATACTTGAGACCAGCTCGATACTTGAGTGACGATATGCAATTTTGCATTGCTTTATCAATAACAGTGCACAGAGCATATGCAGCTAACCAGCTAGTGTGATGTCTCCTTGCATTGCATTCCCGCCACAGATGATAGAGAGTCGTTTGAAAAAGCATTTTGAGCAGAATAGTATCAGGTGCTCCAGCACTCAGCCCCTCCAAATGGTCTAGCGTAAGTTGCCAGTCCAGATCAATATGAGAACAACATTCTATTTTCCAACCCATGCCAAACTGTGAAAAAATAAGGACATGCAAAGAACAAATAATCTCTTGTCTCATCTATTTCTCCATATAACATACATCCTTGTATCATCTCCCAAGTCCGCATCATATCCCCCGTTGATAGCCAATTCTTTACTGCTAGCCAGGTAACGAAAGAGAACCTAGGGACTCCTTGCGTGAACCATACAACCTTACTCCAACGAATTTGTTCCCAAGTCTTAGATGTTGAGAACTTGTCTTGGTATTCATCGTCTCTTATTCTCCATTGAACTACATCTCTCCCAGACTGAAAATCAGGCACAGGTTCCTCAACCATGCGTTCTGAATCACTGCATCACTGACTGTGGCACAGCGAGGCATTCCAATGTAAGTAGTACCCGTTGCACCAATGATATCAATCAAACGCTATTTACCTAGCCAGTTATCAAAAAAAAAAAAAGAGTTGCCTGCCCATCCTTAACATACATCCTTAAAAATCCATACGCCACATCTCTAAGTTTTAGAAGCTTCCTCCACATCCAAGACTCTTTTTGAGTATTTTTAACATCACAAAAAGAACTGTTCTTGAGTAAGTAGTGCTTAACCCAACAGACCCACAAAGACGTATGATGTGTAAATAGACGCCAAATAAGCTTGAAGGCAAAAACCAGAGCTGAATCCCGCAGCCGCCTATCAGAGATCAGTCCAATTTACCTTAGCTTTATGTGTTTGTGTGGGGGGAGCCATACCATAAAAAACACAACATATACTCTCAACTGTGTCCAGACACTTTGCTGGAAGTATAAGAAGGTTTTTTTTACTTTAATTTTATTGTAAACTTTCTAATCAATTAGATTATACATATTTTTTTATAATCAACTGTGTTGTAAATATATCAGTTACATAATCCTTTCTAGATAACTTGTTAGTTAGCAACTTACTTAGTGAACTATAGAAAACTCTAGAGACACTTTCTATAACTTATATTGCACCATATGACACTTTGCACTCCTTAGACACTTTTTCCTCAATTAATTATTGTAACAAAACTAAATTGTAACTAGTGAATCCCTTATTTTATTTTTCCTTGTCTTCTTTCTCAATTCTCTATTTTATCACAGATGTAAAAAACGTTGAGATTTTCAACAAAAAACGTGATAGAGTTTCTCTGGTGAGAATTAATCTCTGATAATGGAAGATTGACGAATTCAACCACGGTTCTGGCAGGAGTTTCTTCTCTGATGAACAACAGTTCATGAAAACAGAGCATAAGAATAATCAAAACAATTTTTGGAGTGGTGAAGAAGCT